AAGACTGACTGGTCTAAAGTTACCCGGCTCATCCCTTCTCCCTTTCTTGAAAATGGGCACCACATTGGCCCTTCTCCAGTCCTCAGGGACCTGGCTGGAGCACCACGAGTGCTTGAACAGCTGTGCCAGGGGCTCAGCTATGATACTGGCCAATTCTTTCAGCAGCCGTGGATGGAGGTCATCTGGGCCTGCTGACTTGTACCCATCCAGCTCCTCCAGGAGCTCCTTAACTATTTCAGAACTAACCGTAGGTGGACTGGTGCCCTGTGGACATCAATCAATGATTGAGGTGGGGGAATTGGCTTGGTCGGTTCTTAGAAATACTGAAGCGAAGAACTCATTGAAGAGCTCTGCTTTTTTCCCTGCGTCAACCACCAACTGTCCTGATTTGTCCTGCAGGGGCCCTATGTTGCTCTGAGCTTTGTTTATATATATATATACAATTTTATATATATAAAATTTTTTTAAAACAGCCTGGGGAAAAAAAAAATTGTCTCATTTTAAAGAGAATTAGGGAAGTAGGAACTAAAGCTAGAATGACTTTCACTTACACTTTTTAGAAAAATTTCCCCAGGGTGACTTGAAATATTTGGTTAAATTCACTAGCCAAAGTTTATTCTACTGTTAATAACAGTTAAATCTAGTGTTTTATAATTTAGTTGTAAATGTGCACCATGTTTTGATTTAACAAAAAGTTTCTATATCCAAAATATTGAAGTTTTATTTAATATGCTTGAAGGTCTTGTTTTATGTGTTTAACTAAATTCAAGTTGTCATCTTAATGCAGCTTGATACAAATATGAATAAAAAGTTAACCATCCAGTGAATAATTTATATTTCAGCATTTTATAGCTTACCAAATGTAGGATTTCTAACAATTAAATTTGTTAAGCTATATACTTATAGCTTATTAAACAAAACTTTAATGTTTTGGATGCAGAATCTTTTTAAAAATCAAAACATGGTGCACATTTACAACTAATTTATGAAACACTAGAATTAACTGTTATTTACACTAGAATGAACTTTGTTTCGTGAATTTAACCAATTATTTCAGGTCATCCTGCAGAAAATTTTCTAAAATGCGAGAGGTGAAAGTCATTTTAACTTAAATTTCTACTTGTCTAATTCTCTTTAAAATAAGACAATTAATTTTTTACCCAGGCTGTTTAAATTTTTTTTACTCTCTTTCTTTCAAGTTTTTAGAACTCATACCTCCCCCTCCTCCCCCTTCTTATTCATAGACTGGAAGAGAAAAACAAGCTTTCCTGATTTTTCCTCTCCCAATCAATTTCTCAGCTTTGAATGCACCTGCAGAAGAGGCTACTGTTGGTAAAAGCTGGTTTAGCACTTCCACAAATTCTGGTTTCAGGTCTTTGCTAGTGATTTCCACCAGTTCAGTGGTGTGACTTTCTTTAAAACATCTTCAGAAAGAAATGTACTGCTTGAATGGTTCACCTGTAGCTCTGAAATGTATTATGGTTGATGGGTGAATAATGGGTGATTAGTAAATGCCCATGTCATAACAGCATTTTCCTCTTTGGCGATTATGCATCTACCTAGTACTGTATGTTAAAAATATTGTCAAGAAAATCTGATGGTGTAAGTGCTTGATCCATCCACTTCTTTACTGCCTGAAATTTAACTTTTCTGCTAGGTATTTCTTGCTTTAATATTTCTTGAAGTTCTTTCCATATTTCAACAGCAGGTGCAATACAGCTGCATTCTTTCTGTAATTTTTCCAAGGCTATGGAAATAGATTTTAGTGTATTCAGCATCTTTCTTTAGTTCAATGTTGATTATTCTAGTTGTGATACTTCCATCAGTTTTGTCGTGATTTTCTTTACAGATGAGCATCAAAATAGGCCAGTTCTTAATAAATTACTCGAAGCAGTCAACCACTGAATTCAGTTGTACGGGGAAGAATTAGCTTCTTCAGTGAAAATGAACTAAACTGGGTGTTACAAAAGTATTTTGCAATTTCAACATTTTTCTTTATTCCTGGAGTACTTAAATCTTTGGCTAAAAGATGCATCAAATGAGCATTGCACCCATATGTTATAAACTTAAGGTTTGCTTCACTATTTTTTTCTAAGTTTCTTATAATCTTTGCTACATTTGCAACATTATCTGTGACAAGTCTATGCACATGAAATATTGCATATTTTTAAAGGTTGACCTCAAAAGTCATTGTTATATAGAGGAAAACTGACCTTTAACTCTAGAGTCTTTACTTAGAGGCTCATTGACTCAATATAATATTTTATTTAAATTATTTTACTAGATTATACTAAATTTATATCTTAGCCTATGATGTATTAAATTCAAATTTTCTTTTAAGCTGGTTTATTTTTAAAAATTAAAAATGATAAATTTAAATAATATATAAAAACCCAATTAAACATCCACATTTTTTTATTTAAAAAAATCAATTTTATCCAACCTGGCAGGTAGGCATTTCCCAGGCCCCTTCTCCAGCCCTCCTCTTGAAGCTGGCTTGCTGCATCTTGCTTTTAATAGTGCATAAAAAGTACTGAGAATGGTTCTGCATTCCCATTGGGACAACAAGAACTCAGGGTTTTCTCCTCTTCACAGCACCATCCATCTCACTGGGCATGTCTACACGTGCATTAATGTGCCATAATTACGGCACATTAAGTTTAGTACCTGTAATAAAAAGGTACTAACTTAATGCTCTGTAATTGGTGCTACTGTACAGTAGTGCCAGCGCACTTTTTTATGTGATGCTAAGGTGCAGTCGACTAATTCTACTGCTCATTAGCATGCCTATCACCATGACATG